CTAGTTAGTTATCATCATATTTCATGTTTGCACTTTTCTTTTTTTTGGCTGTAATGCAAATCATGTCACTTTTTAACATACAGACTCAGACTATATTAACACTAAAGCTCTATTCATTATGTTTATGTTAGTATTCTGAGTTGTAGCATTTATTTCTCCTTTTATAATTCAATCACCCTTGAACCAAAAGAAAATTTAAAATTTAACCAATGATAACACACAAATGAAAAACAACCGTCCCTTGGTTAACAAACTGAACATTAGCCAAGATGAACTAACCAAGATTGACCTTGTAGAACATGAGCAATTTTTAAGAATGCAAAGGAATTTTTAGTAGTTATTTTACATTATTTAAAAAAAAGTTTGGAGGATAAAATTATCACTTTTTCTCCGAAACTGCCAAATAACCTGTGTACTATTTGAAAGATCTTAGAAAACCAAATCATGTCCAGTGGTTCTCAAATTTTTTTTGAAAGATCTTAGAAAACCAAATCATGTCCAGTGGTTCTCAAATTTTTTGGGTCTCAAGACCCCTTTATGGTCTTAAAAATTATTGAAAGTCCCAAAGAGCTTTTGTTTATTTGCATGTCTAAAGATATTCATATCAGAAATTAAAGTAAAAAAATTAAAATATTAACTTACTTAAAATAACAACAGACTTACTATAATATCAATGTAAATGACATATTTTCAGTGAAAAAAAATTTTCCACAATGAAAGAAATGTATTGAAAAGAGTGAATTGTTTTACATTTTTGCCAATTTCTTAATGTCTGACTTAACAGGAGGTTGCTGGATTCTTATATCTGCTACTGCATCGAATCTGTTGCAATTATTGTTTTGTATGAAGCATATAAAGAAAATCAGGCCTTAAACAGATATGTAGTTGGAAAGGGAGGAGTATTTTAATACTCTTTTCAGAGAATTCTATTACCAAAGAATAGCCATATTAAATTCAACAAGTGATAATTTCAAAAGGTTAATTTTAAAGTGCAGTATGAGACCATATTGTGAGTTTTGCACACTTTGTATATGAATGATAGATGAGAATGAAAGAGGCAAATAGTGTCTGATCACCCAATATAAATTATTTTTTTTTAACAGCAAGGTGAGGCTCCCTATTGCAACAGCCTTAACCACTATATATAGAGGTTTTGAGCAGTTAGGCTTAAAAATTAATAACAGAAATTTCTATGTTTCATATAATGAGTAGTATTATAGTTTGACAGCAGTTTTAGAAAGGGATTGTTTTTTATGGAGCGTAAGGTAGAGTAGGTGGTGATAAGTAATTTTCTCTGTTACAACTTTTTCCCCTAGTTCAAGCAAAATAGAACCACGAAGTTTTCA